GAACACCATAATGCTAAATGTTGAAATCCAGAAAGAGCAAAATCCCAAAACTCTAAAAATCCCCAAAATTATGATCCCCAAAAGATCAAAATCACAAAAATATAATTCTGGAAGAACTAATTTTAAAATATTTAAAGACCTTAATTTACATTTGTAAAAGGTGACTTTGTTTTTTTGAGAAACATAAAAACACAACAGAACACTCAAAGGCCACTTCACACAATAAAATAGACAATAATGACACACATTTTTGCAAGCATAAACACTCAGGTATACAATGACAGTCACATGGGTGTAAACAATCAAACCATATTCATATAGCAAACAAACTATATTCATAACGACACTGATCAAAAAGCAAAATGCATATATGCATATCACTAGCATTGGTAATTGTGTGAAATACCATAAGTTTCCAAAAAGATTAAAAAGAATTAATTAAAAACAAAACAAAAAAGAAATATCATGCAGGACAACCTAACTCTTTTCATGAGATCAGTTAAAACCTGCAATTGGTCACCATCACCACAGATAGAGTTGCCCAAAGATCTGAGATTTTGAGAAGTTCTATCATTCACAAATACAGATGTATGAAAAGGACAGCTCCTCATTTATTCAGAAAGTTTCAACATTTTACCTGTAAGCACAATGCCTACACACAAAGTCAATGGGGGTGAAAATGCACGTTTATGAAGTCAAATTTCTAATGCCCAAGACAGGAGAAGAGAAGTCTGTCTCGGATGTCAGAGAGAGATGAGTTCTATTTCTGTATTTGCTCCTTTCAGGATCCCAGCAACTGGATGGTGCCCACCAACACTAAGGGCGTATCTTCTCCACCTCATCCACTCAGATGCACCTACTAATCTCCTCTAGAAACACCTTCATAAATACACCCAAAACAATGCTTTATTCAGTATCTTTTAATCCAATCAAGTTGGCACCTAAAATTAAGTATGCAGGTGAATCCCTTGTCAATTTGGCACCCATATGCATCTTCTGAAGCCGTATTTTATTTCCAAATAAAGACAACAATAAAGTAGTAGTTCTGCTTAACATAATGCAACTAAAATGCTGCAACCATCCCATGATTAAATTTGCAAACTTGCCACTGTGCCCTTATGCTGGCAGCACTGTAAAAAAACTCAGTAAGATTTCATAACCTTGGTATTTCAGTGTCTCACAGTTGTGTTCCTACGGATGTGTGGTGGTGTCTTGCTGACTGACAGTCATTGCTGTGCGTCTCTATGTATCATCAGGAGAATGTCAGAGCTTGAACTGGAGCAACGAACAAACATTCACAATTTCTGGTTAAACTTGGCAAGAGTGAAAATGAAATCGGAGACTTGTTAATATACGTTTATGGGGATGATACCATGAAGAAAATGGTAGCACACAAATGGATTAAATGTTTTTCTAAGAGGAGAGAGAGTGTCACTTGAAGTGTTTACTTCAAGCAGAACTGACAAAAAACATCACAAAAATTCATCAGATTGTATGCTAAAATCATTGGTTGATTGTGAGAAGCATAGCAGACCAAGTAAACATTAATAGAGAAACTGCTCAGAAAATCTTAACTGAAAATCTTGGCCAACAACTCATGGCTCTTGCATCAGGACAATGCACCAGCTCACACAGCACTATCTGGAAGGAAGTTTTTAGCCAGCAAACAAATTGTATTGGAAACTCTCCCTATTCAGCTGATAGGGCTCCCAAAGACTTTATTCTTTACCAGAAAATAAAAGAAATGTTGAAAAGAAGATATTTTGATGACATTCAGGATATCAAGGGTAATATGATGACAGCTTTGATGATGATTCCAGAAAAAGAGTTCCAAAATTGCTTTGAAGGATAGACTAGGTGCTGGCATTGGTGCATGGTCTCCCAAGAGGAATATTTCAAAGATGACCATAGTGGTATTCAGCAATGAGGTATGCAGCATTTTTTCTAGAATGAGTTCTCGAAGTTAATTGTCAATCTTCATATATCCAATCAAAAATGTAATAATCTCTTCTCTAGAATTTAGCCATTAGGATTTCAATGTTGGGGATTTTAATCTTTTGGAATTGTGATTTTCAAGATTTTAGACATTAGGGATTTAGATTTCAGGCATTTTGATCTTTCAGGATTTCAACACTGGGATT